CGATGTGAAGAAGAAGAATTGAATATTTATAAGGAAGTTTCGAATGTACCCGAGAATTTTGTGATCCCATTTGAAGCACAAAGTATTCGTGTTTTCCCGGCTCCTTGGATCACATTTAATCATCTGGATTCCATGAGAAATTGCGTTTCAATCGAGTTGTCCGGTTCGAATTTAACAAATGAAGACATTCAAAAGTTCATTGATAACTGGAAACAAGGTCGATATCCAAATCTTCAATGGCTCAGTGTGGAAAGTACCAAGTTTACTGATAACTTTTCGATCGATGGATTAGAATCTCTTGAGGACACATCCAACATTTGTGAGCAAAGAGTAAGTGATGCTAATTTTTCTTCAAAAATTTGTATAAATTGATTTTCCAGAATGTTCCGACAGCATTCGATAATATTTGGAGCGGTTCAAATTGACCGAAATGATGGAGTTGTTGGTTTGATTCGATATGACAAGAGATACAAATATTTGCATTTACTTGTTTGATATGTTTTTGAGAAATGCCTGTTTTATGAAAATGTAATATTTCCAATTAATTTCTGTGCATGGCTTCATGGAACTAAACAGCTTCTAGTGAGAGTATGATTGATTTAATATGCATTTTTATTATCATTCTCATCATTCTTTTAATAAATGAATGAAGTTACGTCTCTTTGTTTCTCTGTGGCTCTGTCCGCAAATTTTGAAAAGCTGGAAAATAAAATATACACGTGACCAAAATTTTGCCAGTAGTTATGATAATCCTGGTTGCATTCCCCATCAATCTCCATCATTTTTCGCTCGACAAATCGGCTCAAATTTCGCAGTTTCGAATTTTTGAATTTTCGGGTTTTCAAAGTTGGACATTTTGACATTTAGAAATTTTTAGGAATTTTTAGAATTTTTAGAAAAAACTTCGTTTCAAGAAAATTTCTGAAGGGTTTAAGACTAAAGTTGAACATTTGCAGACTATGTTAAGCGCTCACCCGAAATCAACAACAGCCGAAGTGATAAGTTCTCCTAAACTTTCGCATCTCGCCTGAACACAATTCCAGCATTTGAAGCCATCTTGACGATAAGCTCCTTTGAATTTCTGATATTCAATCCGAAAATAACATCATCCATATTCCACAGAATTCTCTGGACATCTTCCCAAAAAGTACAAAAGAAATTAACTTGTTCGTGAACCGACATAGTGAGGGATTTGGGAGTCTAGGCATCACTTTTCCGGCTCTGCGTCACTTCGAAACCGCGACACTTCGAACCCAGTCAGTTCGAAAATAATCAGGATTCTGAAAAGAATTCGATGTGAAGAAGAAGAATTGAATATTTATAAGGAAGTTTCGAATGTACCCGAGAATTTTGTGATCCCATTTGAAGCACAAAGTATTCGTGTTTTCCCGGCTCCTTGGATCACATTTAATCATCTGGATTCCATGAGAAATTGCGTTTCAATCGAGTTGTCCGGTTCGAATTTAACAAATGAAGACATTCAAAAGTTCATTGATAACTGGAAACAAGGTCGATATCCAAATCTTCAATGGCTCAGTGTGGAAAGTACCAAGTTTACTGATAACTTTTCGATCGATGGATTAGAATCTCTTGAGGACACATCCAACATTTGTGAGCAAAGAGTAAGTGATGCTAATTTTTCTTCAAAAATTTGTATAAATTGATTTTCCAGAATGTTCCGACAGCATTCGATAATATTTGGAGCGGTTCAAATTGACCGAAATGATGGAGTTGTTGGCTTGATTCGATATGATAAGAGATATAATTTATTGAATTTACCTGTTTGATATGTTTTTGAGAGATGCTTAGTTTTCGAAAAATGAATCTTTTGGAAAAGTTTTTGAACCGGAAATAGGACAAATGAAATATTGTTTCCATAACTCAACACTTCACACATTTTACATATTCTAAAGCAGGATTCTAAACTGCCGTCTCAATTCTCTCCCCATATCGAACTCGAAACGTCCGNNATTATTCTTCTAGAACTTCTGAATAACCATTTAGGCTTAACCGTCTTCCATAAAGCCATCACATTCCTCCTATTACATCCGAGATAAGTGATCTGAGTGATTGTTGGCATCAGCAAAGCGTCGAAACCTTTGGAATCAATAATTGCTGCAGAAATTCGAAGATACGGTTTATCTTCATATTCTGACTCCCCATAAAAAAAGTAAATAAGACAAATCTGAAATTCAAGAATTGAAAAAAATGAGGATTCAACCTATTCTTTACCATTTGCTTTGCGACAACAACTACTAATTGCCAAGCAACAAATCTTTGGGGGTTACTGATTTTTGCAGAAGCCAAATTGGCTAGTTTACCGATACTAACAACAATAGGAATGTATAATGCAGCAGATGCAGTTAAAAATACCTGGAGAGATAAATTATATATCTGGAATATGGATTCATTGCTCTCTTCTGAAAAAAAACAATAACTCACAAAACGAAGAAACAAGTAAATATCTTCTATAGAAGCTAGAGATACACCTGGTTCCTTTTCTGCTTTTGTTTTTAATCGAAGTAGAGCTTCTGAAACAGAAACTGCATAGGAAACTACCAAAATCCACTTTAATGCTCTTTTTGAGAAATTCAAATATTTCTCGGCGCTGGGATAGAAATAAATGAAGAATCGTTGAATTGCCAATAAACCAAGCAGGAATTGTTGACTTCTGATACACATACAAATGGTACCGTACTGCCGAGAAGGAATAAATAAAACAATGTCAAATATTCGAAGTAGTACAACAAGAATTCAAAAGATACAAAGCACCAAAACGCAATAGTTAGTTTTATGTTAATTTCGTGGAAGTGATCAATGATTTGAAAAACTGCAGTTTCCTGGTCTCGAGATTTGTGCGATTTATACACTTTTGAATAGATCACAAAAATCGATAAAACTATGATACCATAAACAAAGAAAATGATGAGATAATACTTAAATTGGTTTTCCATATGAGGATTGAAATGGCGTCATGAGTTTTTGCTGTCATCAGAATTCATTTTTTAACTCAAAAGTGTCCTCACCTTCAATATATAAAATATCAATGCATCAGAACTAGTTTAGCTTTTTCTGTACAGCACTATCTTCGGTTCTGTCAGAGAATGTGTCTTAACAACACATAATGTATTTCCATAGATTCTCGAAATAGAACAGGTGAAGTTTCCTTATTTGCAAAGAAAATTCAGCAACACAGTGAATGTTTCCGAATCCAGATACCGAAAACAAAACAGGTGAAATTTCATAGTTTCGTTGACTCAACACTTCCCACATTTGTGTTCCCTAATCTTCCTTATATATAAAAGCCCATACGCGTATGTTGGTCCCCCTGTCAGTCTGTGGACTTTTGAGAAGCTTGAAAAATAAATATAGATTTACGTGACCCTTTTAGAAAAAGCGCCGAAGGCGCACCAGCTAGTTGGTTCTAAGCATGAACAAAACGCTTGCATGCACACGCAACCCCATTCCTAATTGCTTCATTAATGCTGAATTAATGATATGGCTTGTGCCGTCTGTTACAGTATACAATATATTTGCCACACTCACTTTTTGGGTGTACGCTCAAGTTTACAAGGAGAACAAGTCTCGAGATCAAGAAACTGCCGTTTTCCAAATTATAGACCATTTTTATAAAATTAACAAAAAATACATCCAAGCCATATGGGCTTGGTATGGATTAGCTGCTGCAGTGTATTTCGTCGATTCAGTTTTTCTCTCATATCCATTTGTAATTTTGCTATCCCCTATTGTTGTCATATTTTCCGTTAATACTGAAGTGAATCAGTTTCTTTTGGCGTTATTAGTAGTAGGGAATTGTCCTTTCTGGGACAGCTTTTAGCCCACTTTTTTGAAATTTTTATGTTGCTGTTTTTTCAAGTTTTTTGCCCTAATTATTTTTTTTCATATAATATTCTTAGCAAAATCCACGATTTTCACACTCTCAGATTTTGGTGAACTGAGTTCACCCCCACTCACTTTCCCACTTTTGTCCCACTTTTTTTCAACCTCTCAAAACAGTCACTTTTCACTCCAACTGATAACAAATTCTCTACACTTAAACACTTTTTCAACTTTCTTATCAATTTGTTCTCATGTCAGAATGGTAAAGCGCCTGTCTTGTGTTTGAATGCTAGAAAGTTCGAAACCCACT